CCCTGATCCTCAGCTCTGCTCAGGGCTCTCAGGGACCCTGCCCCTGATCCTCAGCTCTGCTCAGGGCTCTCAGGGACCCTGTCCCTGATCCTCAGCTCTGCTCAGGGCTCTCAGGGACCCTGCCCCTGATCCTTAGCTCTGCTTAGGGCTCTCAGGACCCTGCCCCTGATCCTTAGCTCTGGTCAGGGCTTGCAGGACACTGCCCCTGATCCTTAACTCTGCTCAGGGCTCTCAGGACCCTGCCCCTGATCCTCAGCTCTGCTCAGGGCTCTCAGGGATCCTGTCCCTGATCCTCAGCTCTGCTCAGGGCTCTCAGAGACCCTGCCTCTGATCCTCAGCTCTGCTCAGGGCTCTCAGGGACCCTGCCCCTGATCTTTAGCTCTGCTTAGGGCTCTCAGGGACCCTGCCCCCACATTTCCTGTGTTTTAGTTTTGGATCTAGCAAGTTTATAGTATCTGCTAGGCTCCAGATAAACTGCTAGCCCTTTCTTTCCAAGTGGGCACTCCATCAGGACCTTCCTCATCTTGAGTGTCTGGGAGCAGGAACTGCGTGCCGAGGCACAGTCGACTTGTTTAATGGCACTTTCTCACATCACTGTGACTCCTGGCTGGTTTAAGATGAGTTCTCCCACTGGGCTGTGAGCTTCTTGAGATCAAGGGCTTTAACGTGTCCCCAGCGTCTAGAAATAAGCCCAATCCATAAGGTATTTCATACGCACACAGTATGTGACAACAGTGTATAGATTTTAAGAGTTACGCTGGTTCTTCAAAGCAATAGACATTTTTAAAGCCAAGAAATCAATATTGAAAGTCTCTGTCTTTATACATGCTTGCTTGCTACAAAAAGTTATGCACTTACTTTTTCTTATCATTTAAGGCAAAATTTGTCTCTATATGTTGTTTTTAAAAAAAACATTTTTCTAGCTTTAAAGAAATACAATTACTAAGAATTTAAAATATAAAAAAGGCACAAAAAGGTTTTAAGTGATAGGTACTTGATCTAGTTCCTTCTGTGAGTTTTACATGCAATTATACATTTAAATCAAAAATTACCTTATTTTTTTTACCTAATGTTATTCTAAATCCTTTAAACTGTCATTTATTGCTCTTTGAAGATAATTTTAAGCCAATATACTATACTCATACAACTTATTTCACAATTATCCTTTATTTCGATGAGTGTAACACACCAGTATTATAATTAGTATGTGATAAAATATATCATTATTGTGACTCACGCTCACACACAACACAGAATACTTTTTTTTTTTTTTTTTTGCAGATTTTGGCTGGGGTGGGGCTTGAACCTGCCACCTCTGGTATCTGGGGCTGGTGCCCTACTCCTTTGAGCCACAGGTGCTGCCCCAGAACACATTCTTAGAATGGAAACTAGTGGATCAGAAGCATAGAATTTTAAAGGCTCTGGATACACATGAAACAGCTTCCTGGGAAGTGTGTACACACCGTGTTTGTTTCTCTATTACAATCCAGAAGACACTGCTTACCACGGCTACTCCTCAAAACTCGCCTTCACGTCATTTGTATTTCTCTAGTAGTTTATGAAAGAATAATCGATACACACAGATGGCAAGTAATAATGATACCTCATTACCATCCAGCAGCATGGGCACAAGCCTAATCTTAGTTCTCACAAACATCCTGTGAACTTGGAGCTGAGGTGGGGGCGAGACGACGCCCGGCAGCCCAGTTACTAATGTCTGCCGTCAGGCACCACCAGGCAAACCCGGAGAACTTGGTGACAGAAAGTAGCAGGAGAAGGGTGGCTATTTCTTCTTTTCCCTACTTTCTTTCTAGTGGACATATAATTTAACAGACGGTGCTTCATAAAACGTACTGGTTCTCAGTATTTCATCTGCACTAATTCAAGTGGACCGACAGTCCACGGAGCCACATGGAGTCCAGTCCCTGAGCAGCGGGCCGGCTCCTGAGCTGTGGTTCTCCTGTGTTCAGAGATCGTCATGGCTGCACAACCTGACTGTCCATATGTGGTGGCTACTCTCACAACAGAGTGTAAAGAAGAGAAACAGAAGTGGCGTCTGAGAGGTAATCCGGGTTGGCAAAGTGGGCTCTACTGTGGTTAGAAATGGCAGGTTCTTACCTTAACTATCAGTCCTTTAGAGTCAACCAGCCATATCTTTTCGATGGCTTTCTCTTTTGGTAAACCTTCCTCCTCCATGGCCATGACAATCAGGTGTGCAATCCCTAAGGCGGCCTGAGAAAGGGGTCATGACAACAAGCATATTAAAAGCTGTTCCACGCGGTACCAAGGCCTACGTCTCATTTGCTTCTGTCTTTGTTAGTGAAATGGCTCAGCCTGTTTTGTGCTAACAACTAAAGAGCTATAGTCATTCGTTTATAGCAGGAGCAAAGTATTTTTGTCACATTTGGGTTCAGCCAAGTGACAATTATTCGCCCTTCTTACTTCAACAGAAATGCTACTGTGTGGCCACCATTTAGCAGCAGATAAGCCAGCAATATCCGTGACTGCCAGTGTCTTTAATCCTGTTAACACAGCCAAGATTTGCTCCAAGGAGAAAAGACTAAATTTGCAGTAAGGACCTGGACAGCGCTGCTCACTGGACTGTGCTGTTTACTGTGAGGCTCCAGCCCCTAATTGGATTGGAAGAACAAAGCCTGGTCGTTTGGATGGGAACTTGACCAATTAGGCAACAGAATGTAACTGATGAAAAATCTGTGCTCCCAACCGTGCATTTACTCCCTGAACTGGACAAAGAAGTGTTGTGAAAGTTTTTACAAGATTAAAGGAATCACCCTCCTCGGTATTTGGTAAATTCTGTAATAATCTGTGAAATTTCCAGTATCTTTTCAGGGACAAACCAGTGTCAGTTTGGAGCCATCCAACCATGAGTATCTCTGCCCTGTTAGGACACAGACTGACCCGTGCCATTCCTCAGAAGCCTGTGAAAACTCCAAGAGGGTCACTGAGATTAAAGACGGCAGGTGACAACCCAAAGGACAAAGAGCTCGGGTGCTGAGGGGCTGTGATTTAGCCTTGATTTTTATTTCATCATGAAAGTTAATGTGGTGTATGTTCTGAATAATTTGGCATATTTGCATGTTAGTATTTAAATTCTAGCTTCATGTATTTATTTATTTATTGAAACACTGTCTCACTCTGTCACCCTGGGTAGAGTGTCGTGGCATCATAGCTCACACAACCTCAAACTCTTGGGCTCAAGTGATCCTCTTGCCTCAATTTTTCTATTTTTAGTAGAGATGGGGTCTTGCTCTTGCTGAGTCTGGTCTCTATTTTATTTTGAGAGCAAGAAAAATGAAAACTAACAAATTTCTACCAGTATATTTTGTTTACCATCTTATTAAATTTGAAAATCCAAAGTTTCTTAAAATATACACATATATAGCTACAATGTCTGTCTCTATTTAATATACCCTAACATTTAATTTTTTTCTTTTTTTTTTGAGACAGAGTCTCATTCTGTCACCCTGGATACAGCGCCATGGCATCATCATAGCTCACAGCAACCTCAAACTCGTGGGCACAGGCAATCATCTTGTCTCAGCCTCCCCAATAGCTAAGACTATAGGCACCCACCACAGTGCTTGGCTAGTTTTCTATTTTTCTTTTTTTTACAAGAGACGGGGTCTTGCTCTTGCTCAGGCTGGTCTCAGACTCCTGAGCTCAAGCAATCCACCCACCTCAGGCTCCCAGAGTGCTGGGATTACAGGTGTGAGCCACTGTGCCTGGCCACATTTTAACTTGTATTTGGCATTATTGTTTACTGGAGTCTAGCTTTCTTCTTTCAAATGATTAAATTACAATAAGTAAAAACTGAAAGAATAATTTGGTCCTACTACAGTCTCCTTCCAATAATTTAAAATGTCTTTGCTGTTTTGCATATAAACAGTTATAATGTACGCTGAGTCCCTAAGTCAAGATATTTTTCTCTCAAAAACGTGTGTGGTTAGGTATGTCACACCAACTTGAGTGAAATGAAGAAAACGGATGTGGGAGGAGCCATCATCAGACACGCCCACTCCTGATGTGGGAGGTGCCACCATCAGACACGCCCACTCCTGATGTGGGAGGAGCCATCATCAGACACGCCCACTCCTAATGTGGGAGGAGCCATCATCAGACATGCCCACTCCAGCGCCCTAGGGCGTTTACATGTAAGTGTGCCTGGCCCTTTGTTTTCCTGTGTGGTACCTGAATTCTGCATGTGAAGATCTCTGGCAACATTTGATGATTTCACAAATTTAAAATAGAAAAATCTTCCTACCCCTCTATACTAGGTCTCCTGTGAAAAATTAATATGCCTCAATACTTAATTTGGGAACTTTGATAAAAGCCTATACTAGTAACACACTAAAAATTTGAAAGAATGCTTTAAACTTTCAATTAATAAGTAGTTACAATTATTACATGTTATTTGTTGCAGTAACATAAGCATTATAAAGGCAGGTACCTCTCCAGCTCCTTGGAATAGTATCGTCTGGTCAGACAGCTTGTTCTTGGTGATCCGAAGAGCGGCAAGGAGCCCGGCCACCGCAACAGAGGCTGTCCCTGAAATGAGCAATGAACATCCCTGAGTGACCTCAGACGGGCCTTGCCAACGCCAAGCCTTTATTTGCATCTTGGAATCCTTGCAAACTAGGTGGACTAGTTTGGAAAGAAACCTATTGGCTGTCGGCTCCCATCTTGTATATGAGATGTAACTCGCAGGTTCCTGACATTAATATTTTAAGACAGCAAGTTACCACCACTCTGGAAAGAAGGTACTGTGACTGACTTTGGTGACACTGTGAGAGCGAGCAAGGAATCTGGATTCCTGTGTGGATTCCAGCTCAGTCCCCTTACTAGCTGAAAGAATTTACAGAAACTATTTTGTACATAAAATAGTCTCCTTGTTTGTGAAACAGTTACTGCATGAGAGATTTTAGAATCTTCCTCCTAACTACTCCCATGGTTTAGCGTCTGTTACTGCTCTCCATTACACAGAACAGGCACGGGTAGTAAATACTTGCTGGTAATGATAACTTTGATAATGCTTGGAATTTAATGTTGTAACTTTCAAATGTGAAAAATTAACTGTTGACTACAATCTGATCTATTACATTCTATAACTGGCTTTCCACCCACGGTGATTACTGGTGGAGCCCCAACGTGCCAGACAAAGTTAACATAGGATTTATTTGGGATTAAGAACTGTGTCATAGGCACAGAAGCTCCACCCGCTCTCTTCACATCACCAGAGAAGCCTTCGCAGGCCACACAGCTGTTCTCCTGCCTTGAACATCATCGCACAGCAACTTCTTCACAGCTCATGTCTGGAATGAAACCGCAGCTTTCTGTGGCGCTTTCCTGTCTGAAGTGACTTTCTACCCCTCGTGTTTCCCAGATCACTTTGAGGGGCAGTGAAGCCCAGTCGAACTTTAAATACCCTTACTTGGTTAAAACGTAAATTCGAGCAGCTCTGACGGATGACACATGAGGAAGTGTCACGTCCGCCAAGTGACAAAGGTATTTTAAGTGTTTCTGTAGATTCTGCCAACACCATAAGACTTAACCAGTTGAGGAGACGGCGCTGAAGCATCAGCAGCAATCACCCTACCTGTGTTTATTATTCTGGTTTGAAGCAGAAATGGACATTTACAGACAGATACAAAATATTCCTAAATATCCTAGCTACGATGAATGACTTATTTTCATACAGTTCTGTTAGAGCACACTGTATTGACACGCAGAACGGTTTAAGCTCAGGCACAGTAGCCCACATAAGGCAAGGGAGGTCTACTCCACCCACACTGGCCTTAAACGTACATTCCATAATATTTCCTGGGACTTTAATGAAACCTCTATTTTTCTTTTCATAGAATTAATTTAAAAATTAAAAACATGTTTTTAGCACTATCAAAAATTTAACCTGATTCTTGTATACAGCCTAGCACTACCTTGATTTAAATTTCATTGTAGAGGAAGGAGTAAATATGAAAAAAAAACTCAAAATTTTATAAAAACATACATTTTTTAAAACAAATTATCCCATAATACTTTTGTTTGGAGATGTTTATGGTATCAAAACCCAAATGCGTGCCAGAATTTGATGATGAGAATTGGCTTACAGATTTAGCATTTTTAGTGGATTTAACCATTCATTTATATGGGCTAAACACGCATCTTCAAGATGAAACCAACGCCATCAGTACGATGTTTCAAACCATTATGGTGTTCCAAAGGAAGGTGAACTTACGGCAAGCTCAAATTGAGGCAAACAATTTCATACATTTTGACATTTTGGCTAAACACAGTCCTGTAAACAGCAAAAAAATATGCAGCCTTGCTTTTCAATTTGATACCAGAATTTGAAAACAGATTTCAAGATTTCTGAGAAAATATAAATAAATAAAAATAAAAGAAAGTGGTGAACATGGAGATGGGAGTGGGAAACGGGACTGAGGCAGATATTTTATTTTTATGTTTTTAAGGCAAAGAATGACACAGGCTGCTGGAGAGGAAGACGTAGAATTGAGGCAATAACTTTAAGAATTAAAGTAATTATTAACTGATGAAAAGATCTGCGAATAATTAGAAATATGTCTCCATAAACAACATAGAACCAGGAGACGTAAGGCATTAAGTCTGACCCTGGACCATAGACCTCTGGGCCCCTTTTCTCAGCCATAAAACCAGAGCCCTCTTACGACTCTTAGTAATCTTGTAGCTTCTGAGTGTAAAGTAATCAACAGACCTGCCACTGTAATCTCAAAACTCCTGCCCACCTGCCTTGCCTTCCTAATCGGTTTTCACGTATGTTGTCATTTCAGCCAAGTGCCTCAAAGGGAACAGCCCTATCTCCTTAAGCATCCAGTACAAAGCTCACACAGAAAGTATTCTTAAAATACAATGTATACTTCTTTAAATAAACTAAATAACTGACTTTAAATTAAATGTGACACAAAAGAGAACAATGTGATGAAAGTGGGAAAGCTGAAGAAAAGAGAATTAAAGCAATTAAACGTGCTCACAGGGGGCGGAGCAGAGAGAGAGGCTGCAGTTACATGGGAAGAGAGGCCGTCTCTGATTCTGACGCGTTTTCCCACGGTGGGAGGGTGGCCTTATTAGGAAAGGACAGTAATACTGCAAAATCCCACTAAACTCTTCTGTAATAAAAATACTGAACAAAATACTAAAAGAATTTTAATAAAATGCAATATAACAGGTTGCATTCTAAGTCGTGGGCTGCTTTTTCTGATGAATACTCAGCAAATTCTGACACGACAATATAGCTTCCTGCACTTAGTATGAAAGAAATCTGGAATGCGCTGGAACGCAATTATAAAATCTACACATTAAAGAAGTGTTTTGGAATATTAACTGTAAGCATTAAATCAAGTGAGTATTAAATGGGAAAGGTCTATGAGTAAGAAGGAGGGGTGTATAGTCAGAACGCTGTTTCCTTCTTTCTCTTTGCCTGCGACCATCATTCGCATCTAACACGTTGTCAAGCACGCGGGGACGTGAAGAAAAAAACCACTGATAGAGACAACGGCCAACACAGATCACAGCACAAACTAAAAATGAAACCGGTTTGAAAAGAATACTAGGGCTCGGCGCCTATAGCTCAACCGGCTAAGGCGCCAGCCACGTACACCTAAGGTGGCGGGTTCGAATCCCCAGCCCGGACCCGCCAAACAACAATGATGGCTGCAACCAAAAAATAGTCGGGTGTTGTGGGGGGTGCCTGTGGTCCCAGCTACTTGGGAGGCTGAGGCAGGAGACTTGCTTGAGCCAGGAGTTGGAGGTTGCTGTGAGCTGTAATGCCACGGCACTCTACCCAGGGGGACAGCTTGAGGCTCTGTCTCAAAAAAAAAAAAAAAAAGAAAAGAAAAGAATACTAGAAAGAAAAGGCTTCTGCACTGAGTAATCTTGCTGATGAAAGGTCACACCTTAGACTTTTTTTTTTTTTTTGCAGTTTTTGGCTGGGGCTGGGTTTGAACCCACCACCTCCACTATAAGGGGCCAGCACCCTACTCCTTTGAGCCACAGGTGTCGCCCCACACCTTAGACATTTTTGACATTAAGGCTCAACAACTCCGTGGGCCATGTCTGATCTTTTTATACTTAGAAATTTAGATTTATAAAAATGTCATTCCATACTTCCTGTTTTAACATCATTTTTATCTCTTAAAGTATAATTATCTCACCATGTCAAGAATATATTTTAAAATATTATTTCATATAGTGGTAATAGTCTATATTATGGGTATATGACAATTCATTCAATTAAACCTCTGTTTTTGGATAGTTACAGGGTTTATTTATTTATTTATTTTTTTGCTATTAAAAACAGTGTAGCAATGAGTATTCTTGTACATTTGTTTTGCACACACCTTTATTTCCTCAGGATAATTTCTAAAATTAGAATTACCATATTGGATCAAAGATCTGCATGTTTAAAAGGCTTCTGACACAAATTGGCTGTCCAAGAGTTATACTGATTCATACTCCCCAAGCAGCATGTGGGAGTAATCGTTTTCTAAAAGCATCATTATTAACACTGGGATTACTGAAAAAATCTTTACCAGCTTGACGAAGAACATCAGTTTCTCATTTGCTGCTTAATTCACTTTTAAAACCTTATTAGTAAGGTTAGGCTTTAAAAACAAATTTACTGGCCATGGTATCCAATTTTTTCTGAGTCTCTTCTACCGTGTCTGATTTTAATCTTGTCAATTATCAAAGCATTCATTAATAGATTATACTACATTTGCACAAATGTAAACTAAAGCATTAACTGTATTTTTAACATCGTACAAGTCAAAATAGTTTACAATGGCTAAAAGTTCTATGTGCGATATTTATAGTGTCATGTTACAGAACAGCCATTCGAGAAAGGCTATTGTAAGAAAAATCTCTTTTCGTAGCTTATTTTAAATGACTAGAGGTTGACACCTTATTCTTTCAGTCTGAAATTGTTTAATTCTGCTGGTCTTCAGATTATATAATTAAATGCCCAATCTCTTAATAGATTTGTGTATTTTTTCAAGTTTAAAATAATTCGCAATGAGGATGGATCTAGGCCCAAAATAAATTTTGAAGCAACATTCATATCATTTAAGATTATTTTAGATCACTAATACAGTAGAATTTTAAGTTATTTTTATTTAATCAAATACTTTTCATAAAATATCTTTAACACATCTGTTAAAAATGAAAAAAAAAAAGTCCACCCCAGGGTCCAGCGTAAACCTATTTACATGGTAAAGCTGTAATGGCTACATAATTATTTTCGTTGGCACCAGAATGTAATTTCTGTGCCCACTGTGGGGAAAATATTACATCTGTGGGCATAATGGTAAAAACATAAGGTTAAAAGGTAAAAAAGAAATGTATGGAGAAAATGTGTCATATGGACACAATCTTGGTATGGAGAAGTGTTCAGAAAGGTTTGTCCTTTCTATTCAGAATCCCAAAGAGTTGCCAAAGATTCTCTCTAGTCAGAGTAGACACATTTTGCTTCTATGGCAGTAAATTCTAAAATTGCTACATAGCAATGAACTGTATTTCAGGCCAGATTAGCTGTGGACCCCGGGCTATTCCACAGGCCCCGCTGCTCAGACCCCCCATGCTACAAACTTCAGTTCTGAGGTACCTGAGTCCTGACGTCTAAATTTCTGGCTTTGGTTGATAGAAATTCTGACGCTAATTCCTAACTGCCTTCTTAAAAATGATTTGGATTTAGCATTCTTTCCATTTAGCTGAACTCAGAGTCCTATCAATTCCACATAATGATTTGAAATTATCTAATACTGGTCTTTAACTCCTATAAGAACATCTCTGTGAGACCTATAAGGTATGGAATATTAAAGAAAGGATGGTATAGGTTTGTAAAACCATTTACTGGTGGCTGGTTTAGAGACAGCTGCAGAGTGAGCTGCTGAGATGCACAGATGCTGGCAGGGGCCCCTGTGTCGTGGCACTCGGGTCTTCAAGTCAGGGGTGCAACCCAGTAAAATCAGTCTTTATACTTTTACACTTCTCAATTCCTGGAAATTCCAGCTTATTCTCTTTCCAGAATAATTACCCTCCAAATATTTTCTTGTCATGAATAAATATGCAAAAAGAAATTTAGCCCCCAAATGACTAAAACAAAGTTCTTTTTTGGAGATAGTCTCATTATGTCACCTTTGGTAGAGTGCTGTGGCATCACAGCTCACAGCAACCTCAAACTCTTGGGCTCAAGCAATTTTCTTGCCTCATCCTTCCAAGGTAGCTGGGACTCCCATTCAGTCAGTTGTGTTCTGTACCCTGAAGACAACGTGAGTGATCTTTCCACAATGCAAACCTGCTCTGACCAAACTAATTCCTTAGTTCAGCTCTCACCACCTCCTTTTAATCCTTGAGGTCTAAGGTTGGCAAACTCTTTGTAAAGAGCCACAGAGTCAGTGTTTTAGGGCTGTGTACCACGTGGTACGTGGCTGGGCTGCAGCAGGGCTTCACAGAGGCAGGTGTGGGTGGACTTGGGCTGTGTACCACGTGGTA